TGACTGGGAGGGCTTCTCCTTGTGGGCGATAGTCAACTGCAGGTCCCACCGTGCCTTTGCTTCTTTACGTGTGGGTGCGGGCGGCACTGTGCACGGCTTGGATGGTGGTCTCATATTGGCTGACCATGGCTCGTAAGTACTTGCATGCGCGAACAGCTGCTCTTCTTGTGCTTGGCCCATCTTCGGGCTGGTTCTTGGCAGCTACTGCGAGGATATCCCGTGCCTCTTCTTCTGGCGACCGTTTGGGTTCCGTATCTGGTGCAGGTGCATTGAGAGCGGTACCTTGGACTGGCGCCTCTTTTGCGCGTGGCAAGTGGTCTGGGATTGGCAACTTCGGGTGTAATCGCCATCCATCAAAGAAGTATATGCCGGGCAGGGACAGGATCTCCTGGTCTGGGCCCGTCTGTGCTACTATGTGCCCGGTTCGTGCCTTATACAGTCCTGAGGGTAGGCACACGTAGGTGGGAAAGTGTGTGCGATCAGCAGCGTAGGCATATAGGACAACTTCAGAGAAAGGGAGATTTTGCTCGGGGAGCCACTTGTGTTGAGTTCGTAAACCTGCTTGAACTTCTTGGAAGCGCTCCCTGTTCAGCCATCTAAGGTCTGACCCTCGCACCAATATTAGACGATATCTTGCTCGCTTCACTTCGCCGGCCTGCTGATCGTAGTATTGATTGGCAATTGCAAGGGGAGGGTACTCCCAGGTTGGCGCCGAATTTAGTGACCACCGGCTTAGCTGTGTTAGATTCTCTTGGACTGGGTCAGGGTCAAATTTTGGCATGCTCCATGTCGTTTCTCCTCTCCGTAGGCCCCGGATGCCATATGCAATTGCAGCAATCACCTGTGCCATGCCCATGAGCCCCATCATGTCTAGCGGGGAGACCAGCAGGGTTAACGATTTGGACCGGGTGAGTCCGACAGTGATTCTGCCAAGGCAGTCTTCAGTATCTTCTGTAGGAGAGCCATTGGAGTAGTACTTGGTGTTGCACTATTGCAAGCGAGCTGCTTTCAATTTGCTCTTCCTGCTCCTGAACCCACCGTTCGGTTCACGGCAAACGCATTTCGTCTTGAACCAACACCTGAGCAAGAACTTGTGAGAGGACTCTGAGAGGCTAGAATCCAATGGTGCACAGCTAATGCTTTTTCTTGTTGTCTGTCAGCAACAACAATTCAGAAGCGTGTTTCACTTTCTGGGCAGCAATTAATTCGTTTAGTGCATCTTTTAGTGAGTTGCGACATAGTGGCTTTTCGCCACTGTGTCCTTGGTCAATCTTGGTTGTGGTTGTTTTTGTTGGGCCCTGCCCCGTTCGCTTTTTGCTTTGTTTCTCTGCTGGATGGCGAAGCGCATATTTGGCTGGGGGATCTGCGTTTCGCCCTTTGCGGTTTGGGTTTGTTGTTTTTGTTTGTGCTTTTGATTTGCCAACCTACATGACCACAGGTGTCCATGTAGATGTTATTTTAACCTGCTTCTTCTCATGTAAGGACCGAGCCTCAGAGCGTTATCGGCCACACCAGAAGAAAAAAAAAGGCCCTGCCGGCTTTTTCTTTGTCAGGGCCCGCGGTGCCGTCCTGTCTCGGGCACTGCTCAGAGCAACTGAATGTGCTACCAGGAACTGATGTCTTTTAGCAACCTTGTTGCTGTTTTTCACAGTTGCTTAGCTTCTCACCCCCTTTTAATTTGTTTGGGCCTTAAACTGTTAATTCGTTTGTGCATATTTCGGAGACACGGTGGGCTTAACCCTATCGTGTCGGAGGCAATCCCCATGGATTTGTGTGGTTTTTTGTTTGGTGTGGCTCCGGCCCCGTTTTGTGTTGTTTCGCTGTTTTCTCTGCTGGCGAAGCGCAAATCTGGCCGGGAGATTTGCGTGTCGTCGCTGTTGCCGTGTTTCTTTTTGTTGTGTTGGTTTTTCCATGGTTTGCCTCGTTTGTGAAGCCAAAGGGTTTCATACTTTTTGCACACTTTTCTCCCGCTTCTCTCACTGTCAGGACCGAGCCTTAGAGCGAGATCGGCCGCAACAGAGGAAAAACTAGACGACGGTTGGCCCGAGAGCGAAAAAGATGTTTTTCAAGCAGCTCTGAGGATGGTAGTCGTAAAAGATAGTCGGTGAATAGTTGGTGAATTTTATATGAGCTATGGAAAGATATGGTGTGAAAAAGTAAGATTGATCAAGAAGAGAATATTTGGTAAAGGGCATCAGATGACATGTGTCTTGCAACCACAGAGAGAAAGAGGGGGGGAGAGATAAAGAGAGAGAGAGAGAGAGAGAAAGAGAGAGAGAGAGAGAGAGAAAGAGAAAGCAAGAGAGAGAGAGAGAGAATGAAAGGGGGAGGTAGAAAGAAAACATGGAGAAATGTAATGTGAGCAACAAAAGTGCACAGGAGGCTCGGTACCATGAGTCTGCGAATGACATGTGCTATCTCATTTTGTTATGGTAATTCCCACACACATTGCAGAAAAAGGCTCGGCACCATCATTCCGTGAACGC